ATGACTCTGCATTATGTGACCAAGAGAAAACTGTCCTCAGAACAGTTTGTTTCCCACCTATAATTCACATTGCACTTTAGGGTTTGTAATCGGGGTCTTGTCAGATTTAAATTTTTGTTTTGTATAAAAGTTAAAGGTTGACTGAAAAAAAGGCTTACACGTTGAACTACTCTTGTTCTAATAGATAGGTCCTAGAAAACCTTCCATGTGCCAATGATTTATGAAGACCATGCTTCCCAGGAGAAAGATGCAGTGGAGCTGAGAGAGCTGGGAAGAGAAGGCAAAACAGCCTACAAAGTGTGTGATTTCAGGGACAGCACCGTGTATTTAACAGATAATTTTCATAATATTTGAACACCAAATTGGCTCTGCTTCAGTGTGGTGCTTACAGAGAAGAACAGGACAACACCTTTGGGAACAGAAAAGAGGTCAGAGTGAAAACCGTAGGAGTGGATCAACCTTATGCATAACTATACACTCACCTATCCAGTGAATATAGCCTCTTGCATTTGGAAAGTTCCAGAGAACTGTGCCTTCTAGGCCTCTTCCTGTCAATATTTTCACATGATATGATATGTTGTTGTTGTTTGTGTAGCTGCTATTTTTGCTATGACAGAACTGTCCATGATCTTGGGATCACACTGCAGAGAGAAGTTATTCATGTCATTCTCATTTTAGTGCTTACAAAGGAACAAGTCACTTTTTTAAGGGAAAAAGTCCCTAAGTCTCCTTAGGCAATGATAAAAATGTCCACCAGAAAACAGGCAATACAGACATGGGTTTAAGCAAAGTAAACCAGTGACACCAGAAAATGGTTTTTACCCTGGCAGCTATTTGGGCCTGTTTGTGTGTTCCTTTTTGTCAGATAATTACCCTCCCCTGAAGATAACCTGGAGGCCACTGATTCGAGTGATGCCTTTTCTTCATCATGATGCTCTTCACTATTTTCTACAACCAAATTTATAAAAGCCCCTTTAGATATTAGGCAGTTCTACCTCATCTGTTAAAAACACAGTGGCCTATCATGCACATAGAGATTCTCAGTATGAATTTAGAAAGGGTTCATGCATTTCTTTAAACAAATAGCCTGCCCAGGTATCCATGAATCAAAGTGGCCCCCATCAAATGAATCTCCTTAGCAGAAGCATGCTATTTGTTTTCCTGGGAAAAGGGAAAAATGTTTTTTTCTCCCCACATCAACAGAAACTGGAGACAACTGGTGAACACTGGGAAACTCCAGCTGTACCTTCCTCCTGCCACAGGGCTGCTTCCCAGGCTCAGTGATTTACCCCCCCCCCAATATGACTTTATAGAAAACCTACTCATTCCTCTTCAGGGAAGAAAGACAACCCTGTCCCATGACACTCCATACATCTGGGAACTTCACAGGACGCTCAATCCCTACTTCTATCACTGAACCAGGGAAAAGTCTCTCCATGTCACCTCTTAAGTATTCCAGTGTAACCTACATCCTAGCCCCAGATTCTACCATTCAACTCTCTAAACCAAACCCTGGGAGTGCCTTTATTCTTTAGAATGTACACTCATAAACATTCCCTGTTTGAATGCTATAGATATCATGCCATATGCATTTTAAATACTATTTTTGAGAAGAGAACACATAAACCAGAAAGGATAAATCACCTGTTGGCCCACAATGGATATCTGAAAAGTTTACTTAGGGCTGACTCTTTTTTCTTTTCTTTTTTTAATTCTTTTTTTAAAAAAAAATTATTTATATATGACAGCAGAATGTATTATAATTCTTATTACATATATAGAGCACAATTTTTCATATCTCTGGTTGAATACATAGTATATTCACACCAATCTGTGTCTTCATACCTGTACTTTGGATAGTAATGATCATCACATTCCACCATCATTAATTACCCCATGCCCCCTCCCTTCCCCTCCCACCCCTCTGCCCTATCTAGAGTTCGTTTATTCCTCCCATGTTCCCTCCCCCTATCCCACTATGAGTCAGCCTCCTTATATCAAAGAAAACATTAGGCATTTGGCTAACTTCACTTAGCATTATCTTTCTAACTCCATCTATTTACCTGCAAATGCCATGATTTTATTCTGTATGATTTATGAAGTATGTGAGAGGAGGTCTGAATTTAACCCTGCCTTTAGACAATACATGTGAAGGTGGATGGGACCTGGGTACAGGAAATCCTGAGACTGATTCATTCGGAGTAACTCTACAATTACCAAAAGGAAAACATACAAACTTATGTGGGCAATGGCATTGTTATTTGGGTGAATGGAAATGGTAAAAATCATCAGTTTGTGTGTATCTCTGTCATGGAAGTGGCCAAGCATCTCTTTGTCCTTCCACCTGGGTTGAGCTTAGAGACAAAGTGCAGTGCCAGCCTACTCCCATCAGCCACTTGCTCTCAGAGGACCTGCTCCAGGTGACTGTCAGAGTCTTTCTTGGTGATGAAGCCCTTGAGATGCTGACTGAGGGAGGAGGAGGCATCTCTCCCTTCCAGTGATTGCTGGGTAACGGGGTGCCAGCTTTCAAGCCTGAGAATGACCTAGAACAAACAATTTCCTGATGCAGGGACAAGGGAACACATCAGAATGCATACTGCATTGATACGTGATAAGGATTTGAGGGAGGTGTTTCTGAAGGTATCATGGGGAGTCCTTCAGTACAATTCTGACTCATTTAATGTCAAAAGTCCATGAGCATTTACAGTTTACTTGACCTCTCTTTTAGTAAGTTAAGAAACTAATAAGTTTTGACATTTAATACAGGAATATTGAAGAAAGCAAGCAAAGTCCTTTGAAAACACACTTTGAAATTATGTTCTATCGGTACATAAATACAGCAGACCAATTTTTTCCCTGGATCTAGAGGGAAGATGATATACAATCAACATATCACATTAGTTAGCTTAGCACCCCTGGATGATCAGAATTACCTGGGGGCATTCGGCTCTTGTCCTTCATCCTTACTATCCTGTTTGTTTTCTGCCAATAAAACAAGAGTAGACCAGTCACATTACACCACTCCTGCTTTACCCATTGCAAACACAAGCATATAAATGTTCTCTGGGTACACTGGGATATCCTAAGAAGATTACTGAAGGAGAACCTAAACGTACCTACATACCCTTGCACTTATGAGAAAAACTGGCCTTGTTTGGGGATCAAATGAGTAGGCAGTCCTGAAAAATTATTGACCCAGATCCACTGTCTGAACTCTGGCAAAAAGTCAAGCATGCACTTTTTCCCCTCATAGATCCTGGTAAAAGTGCCTAGCTGCCTTCTAAAACACATGGGTAACTTGCCTCAGCAGACACTTTGCTTGTTGTTGGTTCAGATTAGAAAAGACACTGAAAGTAGATTTAGATGGAATATACAGTCACACAAGGGAAAAAAATTTTGATGCTCCACGAACACAGGATGCTTGGCCACTCAGAGATTTTGCAGATGACAGGGTGAAGCCTTCCTTTCAGGGAAAATGCCATACATGGGCAATGAGAATTTGGGACAGGAGCTTAGAGGCAAGCAAACATGGTACCATCTCAAAAAATATAATCAATTTTGTTGTCCTTCTTGGATAGCCACAAATGCTCAAAAAACACTGTGGAGAATCGACATCCAACAAGACAAGTAGAGGAGAGATAAGAGGACTCATTGCAAAAGAATTTTCTCGATAGATGATGAGGCATCTGCATGTTGAAGTCAACTGTCCATTTCTTTGGATACATTCACTCTCCTCACCCCTGCCCACAATGTTCCATAACTTGCATTTGCTAGTGAGTGCCAGGTGGGACAGGTGGGGCTAAAAGTAGGAAGAGTGCAAGCTACCTGACCCACCCAATGCCTGTACTTCAGACCTGGTCCTAGTGTTTGACTCAAACCAATGAGTAACCATGGGACCTGCCTGCAGGGAGATCTCTCTACCCACCTACAGGGCTGAAGTTAAATAATAGGGAACCTATCTGGGAAGCCACCAGGAGCCACCTTTTTCTTTTTAATTTTTTTTAACAGTTGTAGACAGATAGCTTTATTTATTTATTTATTTGTTTGTTTGTTTATTTATTTATTTTTATGCCTTTGTTTACTTTTTTTAAGCAATGTTAAGGACTGAACCCAGTGCCTTATACATGCCAAGCAAGCACTCTGTCACTGAGCTACAGCCCCAGTCCACTGCCTTTTTCTTGTATACTGTGTACTCACTGGCCACATCCAGAGTAGATTAAACCACATATTCCTCAGAGAGGGATGCTGGAGTCTTGGGAGGCCTGCGGAGGTGAGACAAGTCATGAGAGCTGGAATGAGCCAAAAATGCCTCATTCAATGAGTCCATCAGCACTTCATGCATGTCCTCCTCCACTTGCAGCTCCATGCTGAGACCTGTATGTAAGGAGAGCAGAATGCTAAAATATGAAAGACTGGACTTCACAACTACTCACCTGGTCTTGATTAAAACCTTTGAAGAAAATCTTCAGAAGGCAGAGTGGTTATCCCTCCAAAGTGGAGGAACAAATCAAACCCCTTTGATTATAGAGTGTGACTTTCCTGGGAGTTTAAGAAGGAGGGTGGACTGTGACAGAGGGCTTCATGTGCTCAGTTCACTGGTTAGGTAACATTGCTGATGAGGAAGGAGACTCATCTTTCCCTGTGTGGTTTAGGCATGTCATACCAAATGACAGCCATAACAGATGGTACAACCCCAGTGTCTTTTGGTCCATGTTCCTTGAATGGTTCTGGTAAATCAAAGTTCCTGAGGCATTATTGATTCCAAAAGATGTTGGGCATTCAGGCCTTGTTCTTTAATCTTTGGAATTAATATGATTTTGGTTTGGTTTGGTCACATTTCTTGCTATGGAATTCAACAAAGCCAAACCCACAAAATTGATGTGTGTTTCCTCCTAACTACCTTGAACAAGAGTGCACAGTGGTTCATTGTGAATGAAGGAAATCTGACTTTAAGTTTAACACATGGGAAAGACTGTCTCTAGGTTACTACACATAAAAACTAAAGGAAGATAGAAACCAAGAAAAGAACCACCAGGGGAAAACAATGGATCCCCCTCCTGGTTATCAGAATGGATGAAATGAGTACATTCCGTGTTTTTGCTCTTGCTTGGGACCTGCGATCTCAAGATGTCACCATTACATTCATTATCCATGATTTTCATATTTACTTGGAGTCCACTGTCTCTTTTGCATCAGATTGCCTTGAGTTTCTGCAAATATATTCAGACAGAAACAATCCCAACAAAAGCTTATTCTACTGCCTTATTACCAACCTTGTACCAATTTATTCACAGGGTGAGTGCATTCTTTATGTGATGAAAGGAAACTCTGAGGAGGACACTCAAGGAACTCCTGGGTTGTATCTTCTGAGAATGGAAAGGTGTCCCTTTCCTTAGTCACTGGTCAGATATCTTTTATTTGGTCAATTAATAGCATCATATTCTATTTTCTAAATCTTGTGATCGGTTAAATCTATTCATTATCCCAGTGATCAAGAACACAAACTTGAAGACTGGCCTCTAGAAAACTCTCTTGAAGACTCAGACCTTACTCCAGAAGCTGGTGCTTCTTGGTAGATTTGAGATTATGTACGGGGACTTAAAATGATGTGTGGGTTCCACAGACCTTCCAATGAGGAAAGATCTTTCGTGCAACTGAGACAGCAGGATAATTTCTATTAAAGGGAGTGGAGTGTGTCAGGGTACAGTCCAGGCCTTCTGGAATGATTCTACCACATTCATGAGGATCCATACAAACAATAGCTCCCATGATGCAATCAAGAGTATTAACCTATTTGTACACTCACCAATTCTCAAAGTAGAC